TTTGAAAACATATAAAATGTGCTCATCTGACTTTTCACAGGGAAGTTCAAATATTCATGAGGCAGAAGTCAAATGTATGCGCGCCAGGGTCGCCCATCACCGGGAGAGTGATCAGGTAGCATAACATCAATGAGCCACATTAAATAACACATGTCAAAAATGTAATATAGTTTGCGAATATTGGGGTTATTAAAAGCCAAGTGCATCATCAAGATAAACCGTCTTTGGCACCAGCCCGCCGGTGATAAAGACGCCGCGGTAGCACAGCGCAAACTACGATCCGAGGACAAGCCGGGGAGGGAGAGGGAACATAATTAAACATATTGTGAGGAGCAGCTGCACCAGGCATGTAGAGGATCAAGGAAGAAATATTCAGCATGATACATGAAGCCCCTACATCTCAAGTCAAGCGTGTCTCACCAGGGGAGGGAGGCAATCTGTATTCACATCCAGGGTCTGTGTACCACCTGTGTATTTTCTGCTTTTTTTGTGCATTCTTCCACTCTTCAATTCCCTCAACACTTTTTCTTCCCTTTTAATTTATTTTTTGGGCACGTTTAACCATTTAATTCCCAGACCGTTTCCCTTTCTTCAGGACCAGAACAATAGCTTGTGGACATGCGAGTCTCTCCTACAATTGCCCCTTTGTCTTCCCAGTCAACCTATCCACACTTGATAATGTGGTAGGAGGCATAGTGCTTTATGGTACCAGAAATTCAGACAGGCTTTCCATTCTTTTCAGCTGTATTAGAAAATAAAGCCCCCCACCCCCCACATACACACACTGCAAAGGTTAAAGGGCAAGTCCACGGTTTCACGAAAAAGTGAACCAACTCCTCCAGACCCCACTGCACATAGAGGCTGTGATGCGCCATGCTGCTGGTGTAGTGGCCCCACACACTGCAATACACAGCCCATTATGATGCTCATATGGGCAAGCGTTCATTGGTCAGCAAACCCACGTGACTATACCAACCAATGAGAAACACTTTCTTCTTGGACACCTTACCAGAAGAGGAAGCCTTCTCATCAGTCAGTACAGTCACGTGGAAGTGCCAACCAATGAGTGAAACATTATGACGAGGCTCATTACAATGGATACATGAGAGAATACCCCCAACCACACACAGCGCAAGGGTTTAAAGGGCAAGTTCACCACTTTCAGAAAAAGGTGAACCAACTCCTCCAGACCCCATTATACGTGATGCCCCATGCTGCCGGTGTAGTGGGCCATATCCACAGTGGTGTATTTAGGTTTTGTACTGCCCTAGGCAACACAAAAATTGGCTCCCCCCCATGAAGAGACCCTGACACTGACAAACACCCCCTTGTCCCACGAAAAGAGCCTGACATTGACCAACAACACCCCACCCGAGAGAGCCTAACACTACCACCATCCCCCCATACATTGACAACCCCCCCACCCCACCCTGGCAAAAGAAGATACTAACCTTCACAGCATCCGGACATCCTCGGGAACAATAATCAGGCTCTATATCCACCATCAAGCCCCTCTCAGATCCCACCTGGTCCCCATGCTGCGTGTGTCCTTTCTTCCATCCCTTCTTTCGGCAGGTGGCGCTGCCCCGCAGAAAAATGCTGCTGGCCCCCTCAAAAATTGCCGCCATAGGCAAATGCCTTGTTTGCCTTGTGGAAAATATGCCCCTGCATATCCACACACTGCAATACACAGCCCTGGAGTGAGTATCTATCATGCTAGCAATGGCACTGACCAATGAGGAGCACTTCTTGCTTCTGCCACACTTTAACAGAAGAGGAAGCTTCAGGTGTACTTCTCCATGGTTGCACAGTCCTGTGGCCGCACTGGCCAACGGGCGAACATTATGATGTAGATTTACTCAGAGGTTGTGTATTGCTGTGTACAGACTGCTACACCAGCAGCATGGAGCATCATGGGTCAAAAGGGGTGGCCAGGACACCTGGAGTTATTTCACCTCTTCCATTTTTCGTGAAAAGGTGAACCTGCCCTTTAAATGGTTGTCAAGTCAAGGGGGCTGCAGGATAGGCTGTATTACTTAATTCCAGCTCCTCTTCTCTAATCTGTGGTGGAGCCTTGGCACCATCACCTACAAGGCAGGGCCCCGTATTATTGAAGCTGGAGTGCGACCGCAGCCAGGAGCAGAGAAGACTGCAGCAGACCAGGCGCAAAGATTAAGGAAGCCAATACAGGGCATGGGGTAAGTCATACAGACTCTTCGGCAATCCCTTAGCATTTAACCCTTGCAGTGTGGGAGGGCCATTTTTTTTGCCAGGAGTTGGGCTTCAGATAGATGGTGGATCAAACGACTTTGTTTACCCAACTGGAGGAAAGGGGTTACATATTATTGCTGTGTGATCCAATGTAATAAGTCGGTCAACTAGAATAAATTAAAATAGATTTATACAAATTCAACAAACTTAGGTGTGCTTATAATGCCAAATTATAATTTCTAAAAGAGTGAATATACTTTGCCTCTCCAGTGGCCATTGTCACGCACAAGTTTGTTGCCTCCAGGCCGCTGCAAGTGTTCAACTTTATAGGTTTTATTTCCCTGCCACAGGCCTTGGTTCCTTCCATTGACTTATTCTGTTCTGTAGTGAGGTTCAAGTCAGTGGGAGACACCATGCATTTGAAAGGGGAGTAGGTATTGCAAACACCCAGAGACTTTATTACAGGGACTTATATAGCACCATCAATTTACACAACGCTCTACATATATTGTACATTCACATTAGTCCTTGCCTTCAAGGAGATTACAGTCTAAGGTTCCTAACTCACATTCATACATACACATACTAGACAGGAGCAATTTAACCTGCCAGCATGTCTTTGGAGTGAGGGAGGAAACCAGAATACCCAGAGGAAACCCACCCAGGCACAGGGAGAACATGGCCAGGTGGCCATGGTTGGGGTTCGAACCAATGACCCTAGTGCTAATAGGCGGAAGTGAACAATTACAGAATAAGCTATCCTGCAGATGTAGCAGTTAGAGGGTTGAGGCAAATCCTTTACTACTGACAAGGAGTGCTTACAGCTTTTATTTATGAAAAAAACCTATACACGGTTAGATTTTCATTCACATTAGTTGAAAAATGGTCAGAAAACCTTTTCATGCTTTGATGGATTGAACTAATTTCATTCGAAAGCCCTTAGCGCTCATGCACACGGGACGTTTTTATAACGCTGGTAACGTTAGCTGTGTAAAGTCACATGAAAAACAATTTTTTTAGCTTTTTTTTAGTGTTTTTGCATTAGCGTTTAGCCGTGATTTCCCGCGTTGTTCCGGGTTTGCGTTCTTTACCGTTTTTAAAAAAATATTTATTTTTTAGTAAAAAAAAACAAAAAAAAAAAAACACAACATCATCCAAAAACACCGGTTGGTGGCGTTTTACAGCTAAAAAAAACTCCCCCTAGAAAACCTGTTTTTTTTCCAGACAAAAAAACGTTGATTCCAGTCTATGTGTGTATGGGCACATAGGATAACATGCTGGGGGGTTTACTGGCTGTAGAAAAAAAAAACGTCAAAAGCCAAAAACAGCCGCTGTAAAAACGCCCGGTGTGCATGAGGACTAAAAATCTGTCCAGACCTGCTACTTGAATGGAATCCCAGGCATATTATTCATTACAATATGTACCATTTTTCTCAGACAAAAACCATTCACAATTAGAATTTTGTTCACGAAATAATTTCCATACTGCTCGGAAACACGCTGCAAAACGGGTGTTGCACTTGCAGTTCCATTAACCCTTTGTGGACCATAAGATTACGGAACGCCAAAATAATCAATTTTTTTGTTTTTAAAGTTTGTACACTTCAGTTGCTGTAACTAAGCCATTTATTATTATTATATCGAGTTTATATAGCGCCAAAGGGTTTGCTCAGCGCTGTACAATAGAGGGGGGGACAATACATGGCACAGTACAACAATAACAAACAACGTACGAGGGGTAAGAGGGCCCTACTCTTTCTAGCTTACAATCTAGGAATTTCATGAAATAATTGGTAAAAAGCTAGATCCATTTGTTGTTTGTTGATAAGAACTAATATTTTGACTCAAACCAAAAAAAAAAAAAAAAAAAAAAAAAAAGTTTTAAGTTCTTAATCAGATGATACAGGCAATTAAAAACATGGGACAAATACGTCCCTTGGTCCTCAAAGGGTTAATTGTTAATGGCACTCCAAGCGTGGTTAGGGGGATACACGTTTGGTCATGCTACAAACGCAGCAAAACACATGGTGAAAAAACCTGCCACGCTCTACTCCTGAAACAGTTCTGGAGCTTCTTTGGCCTGTTTGTTGCCCATTTATTGAATGAGCTGCCCAATGTGTGACATACGGAAATGCACAAAAAAACCTGCGAGCAGGAACACAGGTTCCCACTACACGAAGAGGTGAATGTGACCTAAGGGGCTCCAGGTTTTCTCTGGCTGCCGGGTCCCAAAAACTGCCATGGTAGTGGCAGGGCCAGGCTGACAACTCATGGGGCCCCTGTGTCCTCACCCAAACTCAAACCACACCCAAAAAGTCTATGAAAGGTACCAGGGGCATCTCATGGGGCCCCTGGGCAGTGCTCGAGTGGTCAGTCCGCCCCTGGGCGGTGGACATGTGCTCTCTGTCTAGTGTTTAGGCCCTGCCATCCAATGACCAATTCTCTTGGTTCCAGCAAACTGGAGAAAATCCAAAGCAGCTCATATCCAAAGTTTCGCACAGCAATTTACCTATAAGGAAAGCTATGGGGCTACACCGGGTAAGTGTTAGATATCATTTAATTCCACTTAAAGAATTTTAAATTAAATCTGAAACCTGCCATGGATAAGAGCTCCTCTTTATTCCAGTCTCTCAGCTCAAGCCCCGGCGCTGGGAAATGGCTTATTTGAGGTAATGAAAAGAGGCAGCGTGCAATTTCGAAAGCTGCAGTCTCAATGAGCAAAATGTCAGGCTTCCCGGTGCCAATGAAGACTCGTGTCACCCCCGAGCCATTAAACTCATTTATCTTACCTCTTCACAGTTTCTGGAGCTGACCTGCGAGGACCTCGTCCCTTCGTCTTCGGGTTCTATTACCGTCTCCTCATCAAACTCTTCCAGGGAGTCCTGCAGCTCGGGCATAGACCGTCTGCCGTACCTCTTGCCATCCTTGATGTACTTTGGCTGGGCTTCCAAGGAGCAATCTGCAGTCAGAGATCAAAGAAAAAGAAGACTTAGTGCTCATCTCCAAGTCTGCTACAAGAGCCTCCGGCTTTTTAGCGCACATCCATAGGCACCCGTAAGATAATAACTGATTAGGGCTCAGGAAAGTATAGCGCCAAGAAGGCTAATGTCGACCCTGTGGGGCCAATTTCTTTTCCATCATAGCTCGTGCCTGCAGCCTGACCAGCTTATGAGACCTATGCACTGATACATACAAAAAAATAAAAAATAAAAAAAAATAAGAATAAAAACACTCTTGGTGTCAGGAGAAACCAAAGAGGTGAGCGAGCTGCAAAAGGAAAAGAAAAAAAGATATTCCCAATTATACTGAGCTGCTTTTGGCGACTTACAAATGCTAAAAAAATACAACTTAGCAACATAGAGGGCATTATGCAGTTAAAGCTGAATAGTTGGCCATGCACATGGCAATTTAAACCACTTTTAATGCTTTGGAACATAAAAAATTGTGGTTTTGATTGACCGTAAGATGGGTTCAAAGCTGCTTCAAATCAAACCCCTTCAGAAAAGTCTGGTTGCATCAAATAGCCGCCTTTTTTTCTGGTTCTGAGCTTTTTTTTTTTTTATTGATCTGAAGTCACCAATTTACAGTATATCCCAGTTTATTTCTATTAAAATTCAGGTGATCATTAGATAGTAAATTGCTTGGTTTGAAGACGTATGTTCGATTCCCGGTTGACTTAAAGTGGTTGAAATTGCCAGAAAGTTGCCATATGTATGAACAGCTTCAGGGCGGCACAGTGGCTTAGCGGTTAGCACTTCCGCCTGGCAGTATTAGGGTTGTTGGTTCGAATCCCAGCCATGGCACCACCTGCCTGGAGTTTGCATGTTCTCCCTGTGCCTGCATGGGTTTCCTCCGGGTACTCTGGTTTCCTCCCACACTCCAAAGACATGCAGGTAGGTGAATTGGATCCTGTCTAAATTGTCCCTAGAATGTGTATGTATGAATGTGAGTTAGGGACCTTAGATTGTACACCCCTTGAGGGTTAGGGACTGATGTGAATGTACAATATATATGTAAAGTGCTGCGTACATTGATGGTGATATATAAGTACCTGGAATAAGTAAAGGAGATGAATTATACACTTGGGCACATTTATATTACTATAGAAGCCTTGAATCGGACAAATCCACCAAACAAAACAAACAAACAAAAGAACGTCCTAAATATATAAAAGGACTCCCCAACAATGGCTAATGTTGGTCATAAGTATAAAGAGTGATCTTTTGATAAAACAACAGATTTGAGAAAATAAGAAGTAGGGCAACTTCTGATGCAAAACTATGAACACTCTCTGCATTGTAATTCTTGTAAGAGCCATTGTGAATAACTCTTTGTTTATTGAACAACTACATCTTTTTGATAAAACTTCAATAAAAACTATTGAAAAACAGAGAAAAGTAGAAGCAGAGCACAGCATGTTCAGGCAGTTGTTTATCATTGCGTATCAGCATTAGGTTTACATTGGTTATACGGTTACTGTCATTTTTTATTGATCCTAAAGGACCATTCATGTATCATTTTACAATTTTATTCACAAATCTTAAACAAGGACACACTTGCACTACTCATTTTCCAAGTAATAGCAATTGTATCCAGTTCAACTCTCATACTAAGCCTCTCAACCTTTTTACTCTGAGGGAACCCTTGAATTAAATTTTAGGTCTCAGGGAATCCTTGGTAGATTAGTCCATCCAGGGTCATTGGGAAAAAGCCCTTTACATTGGTGGTGGTAAATGATAAGAATTCTCCCCTTACAGATGGTGGCAGGAATTACACCTTTGAAGTCATGCCACAGGCTCTACCAAGTGGCATTGGACCTGGAAGCATGCAGGCACCATCAGATGGGAGGTCCATAAGCCACAGCTGAAGGAACCCCTAGCCACCTTGGAGGATCATTAGGGCTCTGTGAAACTCTGTGGTTGAGAATGGTTGCTCGTACCTGTACACCCCCATATGGACCAAAACTATTTTTACATTTCTACTATGGGCTGTATGATTTGGTGGTAACTTTGTCAGAACTCAAGATTACGTAAAAACCTTTTCTTCAGAGAAACCAGGCTTTGTGTCTGGAGATCAAATAATTTTATTTCCCAAGTAATTTACAGTTAAAAAGTCAATTAAAAAAAAAAAAAAAAGAAGAATAAAAAAGGATTAAATCCCCGCTGTCACTTTGACAGCTGGGATTTTGCCAACATTAAGAGGCAGGGGAACAGGAACAGGATATATAATATACATCAACAGCCATTCTTAACAACATGGTTCAGTGGGACCCTAAGGTTCCTCAAGTGGTTGCTAGGGGTTCATTGTGCTATAGTGTATTGTCCTCCCATTTGTTGGTGACTGCATAGTTCCAGCACCAACACAACTTAAGTCAGCAGCATGACACCAATGATCTTTTTAGTTGCCTGAAAGGGTTGCATTTTCCCTACTGATCAGCAATATAAGTGTTATTATTCCCAATGACACATGACAAATAGCTTTAGTAAGGGTTCCCTGAGACCTGGAAATTATTTTTGGGGTTCTCCAATGAGAAGGCTGCCCCCAGGTTATTTTTTTTTCTTTTTTGGGAGTACATGGCAAGTCCACAACTGTAGTCACTTGCTGCTGAGAGATTTCACTGCTCGCTGGCAGTTAACTTAATATAGGTACAGGATTGGAAGCCCAGCAAGAGCACAGTGGCAGCTGAAGGCATCCAGTGTGTCCCCACATCAATTCAACGAACAAGCTATACAAAAAAAGATGGCAACCACCCCAAATTTTAACTACAGTCAGGTCCATAAATATTGGGACATCTACACAATTCTAACATGTTTGGCTCTATACGCCACCACAATGGATTTGAAATGAAACGAACAAGATGTGCTTTAACTGCAGACTGTCAGCTTTAATGTGAGGGTATTTACATCCAAATCAAGTGAACGGTGTAGGAATTACAACAGTTTGCATATATGCCTCCCATTTGTTAAGGGACCAAAAGTAATGGGACAATTGGCTTCTCAGCTGTTCCATGGCCAGGTGTGTGTTATTCCCTCATTATCCCAATTACAATGGCAGATAAAAGGTCCAGAGTTCATTTCAAGTGTGCTATTTGCATTTGGAATCTGTTGCTGTCAACTCTCAAGATGAGATCCAAAGAGCTGTCACTAGCAGTGAAGCAAGCCATCATTAGGCTGAAAAAAAAAAAAACTCATCAGAGAGATAGCAAAAACATTAGGCGTGGCCAAAACAACTGTTTGGAACATTCTTAAAAAGAAGGAACGCACCGGTGGGCTCAGCAACACCAAAAGACCCGGAAGACCACGGAAAACAACTGTGGTGGAAGACCGAAGAATTCTTTCCCTGGTGAAGAAAACACCCTTCACAACAGTTGGCCAGATCAAGAACACTCTCCAGGAGGTAGGTGTATGTGTGTCAAAGTCACCAATCAAGAGAAGACTTCACCAGAGTGAATACAGAGGGTTCATCACAAGATGGAAACCATTGGTGAGCCTCAAAAACAGGAAGGCCAGATTAGAGTTTGCCAAACGACATCTAAAAAAGCCTTCACAGTTCTGGAACAACATCCTATGGACAGATGAGACCAAGATCAACTTGTACCAGAGTGATGGGAAGAGAAGAGTATGGAGAAGGAAAGGACCTGCTCATGATCCTAAGCATACCACCTCATCAGTGAAGCATGGTGGTGGTAGTGTCATGGCGTGGGCATGTATGGCTGCCAATGGAACTGGTTCTCTTGTATTTATTGATGATGTGACTGCTGACAAAAGCAGCAGGATGAATTCTGAAGTGTTTCGGGAATATTATCTGCTCATATTCAGCCAAATGCTTCACAACTCATTGGACGCCGCTTCACAGTGCAGATGGACAATGACCCAAAGCATACTGCAAAAGCAACCAAAGAGTTTAAGGAAAAGAAGTGGAATGTTATGCAATGGCCAAGTCAATCACCTGACCTGAATCTGATTGAGCATTTCACTTGCTGAAGACAAAACTGAAGGGAAAATGCACCAAGAATAAGCAGGAACTGAAGACAGTTGCAGTAGAGGCCTGGCAGAGCATCACCAGGGATGAAACCCAGCGTCTGGTGATGTCTATGCGTTCCAGACTTCAGGCTGAAATTTACTGCAAAGGATTTGTAACCAAGTACTAAAAAGTGAAAGTTTGATTTATGATTATTATTCTGTCCCATTACTTTTGGTCCCTTAACAAGTGGGAGGCACATATGCAAACTGTTGTAATTCCTACACCGTTCACTTGATTTGGATGTAAATACCCTCAAATTAAAGCTGACAGTCTGCAGTTAAAGCACATCTTGTTCGTTTCATTTCAAATCCATTGTGGTGGTGTATAGAGCCAAAAGTGTTAGAATTGTGGAGATGTCCCAATATTTATGGACCTGACTGTACATTTTTATCCCAATCTCCATCCCTTCCAATCAGGGAATGCTGATGTTCAAGGTATGGAACCTGGAACTTGCATTAAACAAAAGAGGTGGGTCTTATGGTGCAATCTTACCATAAGTGTTGCCTTTTCACATTACTTCATATGCATACACTTAAGATAAAACAAATATATACACAGATCAGCCATAAACTTTACAAACACCCACCTAATATTGAGCATGTCCCATTTTGCCATCAAAACAGCCCTAACCCATTAAGGCATGAACCCAACTAGACCTCTGAAGGTATGATGTGGTATCTGGCACCAAGCAGTCAGTAAGAGATCCTTTAATTCCTGAAAAGTTGTGAGGTGAGGCAGCAGACTTGTGTTTCCAGCGCATCCCACAGATGCTCGATTGGATTAAGATCTTGAGAATTTGAAGGCCAAGTGAAAACCTCAAACTTACTGCGTTCCTCAAACCATTGAACCATTTTTGCAGTGTGACAGGGTGCATTATCCTGCTGAAAGAGGCCACTGCCATCAGGGAATACAGTTTCCATAAACTTGGTCACCAAC